ACAAAAAAATAAAAATAAATAAAGAATAAACAAATTTAAAATTAAAAAAGCACAATTTTTTAAAAACAGATGAATGAATAAACACAATGTAGTATATGCATACAATGCAATGTTCATCCTTAAAAACAAATGAAATTCTTTGATACAACATGAATGAATCTTAAAACATTCTGTCATGTGAAATAAGACAAAAGGACAAATATTGAATAAATCCACTTATATGAGGTAAATAAATAGGCAAATTCATAAGAGACAGAAAGTAGAAGAGAGATTACAAGAGACTAGTGGGAAAGGGGGATGGGGTCTAGTTTTAAATGGGTACAGAGTTTCTGTTTGGAATGATGAAAAAGGCATAAAAAAGGATGGTGATGATGATTACACAACATGTATTTCACTTACCTGTGTACTTAAAAATAGTTAAAATAATAAGAAAAATTTTTAAAATAACCCAAAGAAGCACAAACAAAATAAGTCATTCCAGTATGTAACAGGATACTCCAGTTTAGTGAAAACTTTGAAACAACCTAACTGTACCTCAAAAGAAGATTTGGGGAGGGCAAAGTTGACAGTGATATGTCCATTCAACAGATAAGTTTTGCCACAGTTAAGGGCAGACACAACCTACTGAGGAAAGAACACTCTCCAAATATTAAGTAAAAAGAAAAAAAGGCAAGGTGAAGAAAACCATGAAAATATACACATTTCCCAATTCCATAGTATGTCAAAAACAAAATGTAAACTTAAGATGGGTACATTTCACTCTACATAAATTTTTCATAAGAAGAAAAATTTTAAATAAATATCCATTCTAATTAATAATATGCAAGCTAAAGCATTTAGGTTAAGTGAAATAATGTTTGCAACTGACTTAAAATATAATGAAGGATAGAGAGCTTAGTAGATAAATAGAAATGTCATAAACCAAGTATTGTAAAATATCAACAGAACAATGTAGGACATGAGTTTATGGGAAATCACTGTGAAATTCTGTAAACCTAGCAGTATGTTGGGACTTTTCATAGAAAAATGCTTGAAAAGTAAGATGGTGTGACTGCACTATACTCAAATAGATTAGATTTCAGATGAAAAATTAGCAGTGTTAAAAAGGGATATTGCATACTGATAATGGGTCAATTCATGAGAAAGACATAATAATCCCACAAGTAGATGTACCTAGCAGAGCTTTAACAAACTTTGAGAAAAAACAGAGAAGTGCAATGAGAAAATGACAAACTGACAATTAAACTTGCAGACCTCAACTTTGCTCTATGAGACAAAATATCATTAAGGATATAGAGGATGTGAATGTAATAAATCAACATAACCTAACTGAAATTTATAGGATATTTCACACCACAAAAGCAAAATATTTGCATGGACCATCATTTTCTGGGTCATAAGAAAAATAGAAAAAAATCTGAAGAGAGTAAAAGCAAAACACAAAACATCAAAGTTCATAAAGTTTAACATTTAAAATAGTATGCCCACTGGGGAATTTTATATTATTTATAGATTAAAAAAGGATCAACATCCAAAAGCCACCTTAAATAGCTATATAAAAAAAAGCAAACTATACCCAGAGAAAAAGTGACAACACAAAATCAGAGTGAAAACCAATGAAATAGCAAAAGGTGAAATAATAAGAAAAAAAATCACTAAATCCAAAGCTGGTGTTTTTGAAAGGATAGCAAAATCTCTAAACCTCTAAAGAGACTAATCAAGAAAAAAAGGATAAATTATCATTGACAGAAATGAAAGATGAGCTATCATAACAGGGTCTACAAAAAAACAAAACCTAAAAAAGGAATATTATGAACAAATTTATTTGAACCAATACATTTGACTACTTAAATGAAATGGACAAATATTCCAAAGAAAAATTTACCAAAAGAGCTCAAAAGAGAACAGATCATCTAAATGGCCCTATACTTATCAAAGTAATAGTAATAACTTATTAAATACAATCTGTTTAAAAATTTAAAAAAACTCAGAAAACTCAGGGCAGTAGCTTTACTGGAGAATTCTAGCAAATATTTAAGAATGAAATACCATCTATCTTATAAAAATACTTATAAGTAGAGGAGACAGGAGTATTTCCCTTTTCATTTTACATGAGAACAGTATTACTGTAATAGAAAACTCAGAAAGATACACAAGTAAAGGAATTTACATCCCAACATGCCTACTTAAAAGTGAGGTAAAACTCCTGGTGAAACAATATAAGAAAAGAAATACAACAATACATACAAAGAGTAATATACGATGACCAGTGAGGCTTATTCTAGCAGTGCAAGACATTTTCTAGATCATCCCACAAATACATTAAAATGCATTTGAAAAAATTAACCATCCTTTTGGCGGTGATGGTGTTTTATGTATAGACAACATGATTGAATATGTAGAAAATCCTTAGGAATCAACTAAAAAGGTAACTAGAACTAGTAGGAGAATATAGTAAGCTCACAGAATGCAAGGTCATTAAAAAATTTGAAATTTCATTTACTGTGACAACAGAAAACATAGATTACTTAAGGATAAATTTAGAAAAATAAGTGCTAGTTATGTACAATGAAAACCATAAAACGCTGCTAAGAGAAATCAAAGAAGAGCTAAATAAATGGGAAATATACTGTATTTAAATAACTGTAAACAAAATCTGTTAAGATGTCACTAGAGATCCAACAAAATCCCCATAAAAGTTCCAGGAAGATTCTTATTAAAAATTGACAGAATACTGAAATTCATATGGAAATGTGAATAACTGAGTATACCAAAACAACTCTAAAAATGTGGAACCAAGTTGTAGAAGTTACAGTATCTCATTCTAAGAATTACTATAAGGTTACAGTAATCAAGACAGTGTAGGAATACCTTAAGGATAAACGTAAGTATCCAAATGTAACACAACATGCAGTGAGACTTTCTCAGGTAACTGATTCATAACAAATATTTTTATAAACCACTATAATGCTTGTGATGTAAATGAAAGAATTTTTAATATTAACTAGACATTTGATATTATGAAATTATTGTTAATGTTTAAGTGTAATAATGATACTGTGGTAATGTTTAAAAGTTCTTATCTTTCAACAATATATTCTGAACCATATATAATCAAAATGATATGATTTCTGAGACTTCTCCAAAATATTGTGAAGGCAAGAGAATAGATGAAAAAAAAAAAAGCTAGTCATGATGCTGGGAAAGACAGAAGGCAGGAGAAGGGGACGACTGAGGAAAAGATGGTTAGATGGCATCATTAACTCAATGGACATGAGTTTGACCAAGCTCCAGGAGATGGTGAAGGACAGGGAAATCTGGTGGGCTGCAGTCCATAGGGTTGCAAAGAGTCGGACATGACTGAGCAACAGAACAAGTTCAGTTCAGTTCAGTTCAGTTCAGAGAACAGATGGAAAAAAAACTAGTCACATGTTGCTAATTTTTTTTGAAAGTTCACTAAATTACTTATTTGCAATCCCTAACCACATAACATCATCATCATCATCATCTAAAATCTACTATTATTTTTTTATTACCATATGCCTGGTATTGTGCTAAATGTTTAATCTGTATTATTTCATTAAATCTTTTGATGACACCTATAAGGAAGATATAATTTGCCTTATTTCACACATGAGTAAAGAGATTTGAAGGATTAGGCAAACTGCTTTGGGTCAAAGAATTAAAACACCTGAATATGAATATGTATCTAGTCTTTTCTTCCTGTACCACTTAACAAAATAAAGACCCACAATTACTAATATATAATAATTCTTGAATAAATGAATTGAGCACAATGAGAAATGAAGATTGGCTCTGGCCACTCAGAAAGTCATAAAAAATAGACCCTAGTCAGTAACTGAACTGCAACACACTGACTAGATCAGAGCAAGCTGTTTTACATGTGTGTCAGTAAAAATTCCAGCTTATTTTTGTTTGCTCCTTCCTCTCTCACTCCCACAGTGCCAATATAATCTTTCTTCTTCCTTTCCTTGCTTTTCCTTCTACAAAATGGTGCTAAATTGTCATTTGCTGTATAGTCACTAAGTCGTGTCTGACCCTTTTGTGACCCCATGGACTGTAGCCTGCCAGGCTCCTCTGTCCATGGGACTTTGCAGGCAAGAATACTGTAGTGGATTGCCAGTTCCTTCTCCAGAACATGTTGGTAATTATTGAAGGTGGGTATTGTACATATGGAGATTTATAATACTATTCCTTTTGCCTGTTCAGCTCAGTTAAGTCACTCACTTGTGTCCAACTCTTTGCTACCCCATGGACTGAAGCATGTCAGACTTCCCTGTCCATCACCAACTCCCAGAACTTGCTCAAACTCATGTCCATCGTGTCAGTGATGCCATCCAAACATCTCATCCTCTGTCATCCCCTTCTCCTCCTGCCTGCAATCTTTCCCAGCATCAGGGTCTTTTCAAATGAGTCAGTTCTTAGCATCAGGTGGCCAACATATTGGAGTTTCAGCTTCAGCATCAGTCCTTCCAATGAACATTCAGGGCTGATTTCCTATAGGATGGACTGATTTGATCTCCCAGCAGTCAAAGGGACTCTCAAGAGATTTCTCCAACACCACAGTTCAAAAGCATCAATTCTTTGGCGCTCAGCTTTTTTATGGTCCAACTCTCACATCCATACACGACTACTGGAAAAACCATAGCTTTGACTTTTATTACATAATGAAAAGTTTATTCAAAACATTGAAATCATTTATGGATTTAAGGAATAATTTTTTAATGTTTCTCTACCTCAAATAAAAAACAATCACTTTGGTGATCATTCAAGAATCTAAATCCTTTCCATGTACCTAATTCTACTAATAGTACCTAATGAAAATTTTTAAGTTGCATCAAATACTGCCAATAGGAAAAAGTAACTTACAAAAAATCTCTGGTTGATTACAACATCCTTTTCTTGGATGACTGAACTATAATCTATGAATCTATGAAAGTCACACACTAAAAAGAAATTATAAATAAAAAGTGGTTTACCTCTCTCAATTTCTCTCGCTCTCGCTCTCGCTCAGCAATACGTTTTCGCCTCTCTTCTTCTTCCTTAAGAGCATTTTGTGTTTCTGTTCTTAGCTTATCATCTTTAAGAATCTTGCGAATTTTCTTTCTGCCTTTTCCAGGAGACTTGGAATCATCATTTTCATCTTCTTCTTCATCATCTTCTTCATCTTCTTCTTTATCTTCTTCAGAATTGCTCTATGGAATTTAAATGATCAAAACATTAATCCTACAAAGTTTTCTGATTTATCCATTTCTCACTCCAATTAATATGCCAAGAAAAGGTAGAAGATGACATACTGAAAAGCTTCAGTATTATACTTTGCAATATAGAACAGAATTTTACAAACAGAACTCTAAAAGGGGGGCAAAGGACTGAACAGCAAATTCTCCAAAGGAGACACAGAAATGTCAAATAAGCACATAAAATGACACTGAACATCACTTCTTATTAGGGAAATTTAAATCAACACCACAAATGAGATACAATCTCACAGCCATTATGATAGCTATAAAAAAAAACAGAAAATAACAAGTGTTGGTAAGGATGGGGAAAAACTAGAAGGCTGGGGCATTGGGAAAACAGTGTAAACTCCCTCAAAAAGTTAAACATAGAATTACCATGTGATCAAGCAATTGCACATCTCAGATTACAACCAAAAGTATTAAAATCAGGGACTCACTTGCATTCCTATATAGTAACAATGAAAAATCAGAAAGTGAAATTAAGGAATCAACCCCATTCACCATTGCAACAAAAAGAACAAAATATCTAGGAATAAACCTATGTAAGAAGACAAAAGAACTGTATATGGGAAATTATAAGACACTGATGAAAGAAATCAAGGATGACATAAACAGATGGAGAGATATTACATGTTCCTGGGTAGAAAGAATCAATATTCTGAAAAAGACTATACTATCAAATGTAAGGGCTTCCCTCATGGCTCAAACAGTAAAGAATCTGTCTGCAATGTTGGAGACTAGGGTTCAATCCTTGGGTTGGGAAGATCCCTGGAGAAGGGAATGGCAACCCACTCTAGTATTCCTGCCTGGAGAATCCCATAGACTGAGGAGCCTGGCAGGCTCATGGAGTCACAAAGAGTCAGAGACAACTAAGCAACTAACACTTTCACTTCTTTCACTAAATGCGATCTACAGATTCAATGCAGTCCCTATAAAATTACCAATGACATTTTTCACAGAACAAAAAATTTCACAATTCATATGGAAATATAAAAGACCCTGAATAGACAAAGCCAGCTTGAGAAAGAAGAATGGAGCTGGAGGAATCAACCTTCCCGACTTCAGACTATGCTACAAAGCTACAGTCATCAAGACAGTATGGTACTGGCACAAAAACAGAAATACAGACCAATGGAAAAAGAGAGAAGATAGAAAGCCTAGAGACAGAAAGAAATAAAAAAAAAAAGACAGAAAGCTCAGAGACAATCCCATGAACCTATGGGTACCTTATTTTTGACAAAGCAGGCAAGAATATACAATGGGGCAAATATAGCCTCTTCAATAAGTGGTGCTGGGAAAACTGGAGAGCTACATGCAAAAGAATGAAATTAGAACACTTTCTAATACCATACAAAAAGATAAACTCAAAATGGATTAAAGATGTAAATGTAAGATCACAAACTATAAAACTCTTAGAGGAAAACATAGGCAGAACACTTGATGGCATAAATCAAAGCAAGATCCTCTATGANCCTTCTCCTCCTGCCCTCAATCTTTCCCAGCATCAGGGTCTTTTCAAATGAGTCAGCTCTTCGCATCAGGTGGCCAAAGTATTGGAGTTTCAGTTTCAACATCAGTCCTTCCAATGAACACCCAGGACTGATCTCCTTTAGGATGGACTGGTTGGATCTCCACTATATAACCCAGCAATCCCACTACTAGGCATAAACCATGAGGAAAGCAAAATTGAAAAAGACAATGTACTCAAATGTTCACTACAGTGCTGTTTACAATAGCTAGAACATGAAAGCAACCCAGATGTCCATCAAAAGATGAATGGATAAAGAAGCTGGGGTTCATATATACAAACTACTCAGCCATAAAAAGGAATGCAGTTAAGTCAATTCTAATGAGGTGGACAAACCTAGAGTCTATTATACAGAGTGAAGTAAGTCAGAAAGAGAAATAAATGTCGTACACTGATGCATAGATATGGAATCTAGAACGATGGTACTGATCAATTCATTTTCAGGGCAGCAATGGAGAAACAGAAAAAGAGAAGAAATCTATGGACACGGGGGTAGGGGAAGAGGAAGAGGGTGGGATGTATGGAGAGAGGAACATGGAAATTTACAATACCATATGTAAAATAGATAGCCAACAGGAATTTCCTGTATGGGAACTCAAACAGGGGCTCTGTGACAAATCTAGAAGGGTGGGAAGGGGAGAGTGATGGGAGGGAGGGGACATGAGTGCACCCATGACTTACTGTTGATGTATGACTGAAAGTAACAAAATTCTAAAGCAATTATCCTTCAGTTAAAAAAAAAAGTGGCAAAAAAAGATTATGCACATAAAAGAAAAGCAGGGACTCAAAAAGACGTTTCTATAACCATGTATACAACAACGTTATTCTAATTTGCCAAAGGTGTGCTGGCTTCAGCAGCACATATACTAAAATTGGAACTAAATAGCCAAAGGTAGAAAGAATTCAAACGTCCATCAATAGATGAATGGATAAACACAACATGTTATCATACATACACTGGAACATTATTCAGCCTTAAAAAGAAAAGAAATTCAGATATATGCTAAAAGGTAGATGACCCTTGAAAACATTATATCAGTGAAATAAGTTAGAAAAAAAGGACAAATATTGTGTGACTTCATTTATATGAAATACCTAAAAGAGGCAAATTTATAGGGACAGAAATTAGAATTAGACATCACCAAGGAGCTGCAGATAGGCGGGGATTGGGAGTTACTGTTTAATGGGCACAGAGTTCCTAATTATGAATGTAATTAAGGCCATTGCATTGTACACTAGAAATGGTAAAAAGGGTGATTACAAAAATGAACTCTTCTAAAAGAGAATAGAATTGATAAAACATTATGGAGAACTTGTACTCTAAATAATTCTGCTTATATACAAGAAACTGAAATTGACTAATTTCACTGCTAGAAGAAATTTATTCATTTAATGAGTTATTATGTTTTATGTAATCAAACAGAACACTTCATATCAGTTCCATAGCCGTAAGAATATAAATAATGAATTAGAAAGCTTAAACTTTCCATCAAATTCAGTGAAGGAAAAGAAAAAAATTGAAAATATATTAAACACTTCTGCATATTTATATATTTAATAATTAGTCAATTCTTCCACAAAGCTTAAAATGTAAATAAACTAGTAGAATTCAACTTATGAATAGAATGCAAATGAGGTAATAACATATTTATTATGGTCTACTATACCAGTGATAAATCCAAGTACACAGTAAATCTCATTATTTATTACCTTGTTTTCACTGGATGAGTCTTCTTGAACCTTAATGCGTCGCCTTTTCTTCTTCTGTTTGTAACTTCTCTGATTTTCTTCCAACTCTGCTTTCTTCGCAGACCTAAAGAATATTTAAAATGCAAAATAAAATACTTTATGGTAAACTTTCTTACATGAATTATGTACTATTTTAGAACTGCTTTACCTTTGCATACATTCTTTAATAAAATGATAAAGGAAAAAATAAAAAGCAAAAAATTTTCTCTGGGTTCACAAAGGAGAGCACTTAATTTGAAATCCAGTGAACAATAGAATTGCCATACGACCCAGCAATCCCACTCCTGGGCATACACACCGAGGAAACCAGACCTAAAAGAGACACGTGTACCCCAATGTTCATCGTAGCACTGTTTATAACAGCCAGGACATGGAAGCAACCTAGATGCCCATCAGCAGACAAGTGGATAAGAAAGCTATGGTACATATACAGAATGGAATATTACTCAGCCATTAAAAAGAATACATTTGAATCAGTTCTAATGAGATGGATGAAACTGGAGCCCATTATACAGAGTGAAGTAAGCCAGAAAGATAAACACCAATACAGTATACTAACGCATATATATGGAATTTAAAAAGATGGTAACGATAACCCTATATGCAGGACAGAAAAAGAGACACAGATGTATAGAACAGACTTTTGGCCTCTATGGGAGAAGGCGAGGGGGGGATGATCTGAGAGAATAGCATCGAAACATGTATATTATCAAGCATGAAACAGATCGCCAGCCCAGGTTGGATGCATGAGACAAGTGCTCAGGGCAGGTGCACTGGGAAAACCCAGAGGGATGGGATGGGGAGGAAGATGGGAGGGGGGATCTGGATGGGGAACACATGTAAATCCATGGCTGACTCATATCAATGTATGGCAAAAACCACTACAATATTGTAAAGTAATTAGCCTCTAACTAATAAAAATAAATGAAAAAAAAATGAAATTCAGTGAACAAAAAAATAAAAAATAAATTCAGTGATCAACATTCTAAGTTATTCAAGAGGGAGGTGTAGCATATGAATAGTAAGATGGATGGAGCGCCTTCAGAAATTTAACTGGCCAATATACATGTGAAAAATATTCACCATCTCTTTAAAAAATAGATTATAAAAGTTAGATACAATTTTCATCATATCAGCACACACAAAGTAAAAAAAAAAGTAACAATTTGTAGTGTGAATACTTCTGTGGCTAGAAATTGGTATATAAGCTTACATTAATCAAGACAATATGTTCCTACATAAAGGACAGACATGAAGATCAACAGCAGAGAAATGAGAACCCAGAAATAAATAATAATTAAATAACAATAATAATAATTAAATAATTGACCATTTATGGTCAATTGATTTTCCACATGGTCAAGACAATCAATAGGCACAACAGTCTTCACAAATAGTACTCAGACTACTTGATATCTATATGCAAAAGGGTGAATCTGGACCCCTATCTTAAGACATAAAAAAATTAACTCAAATGGATTGCAGTTCCCCCAACATGTGTTCTAATTAACAGATTGCTCATTGTTTTATTGCTGAACCAGTGAGACAATGGCTATTTACATATTCAGCTGGGGGAAGAAAATATTGACTCCTATAAGTGTGAAAATATATATGAAAGGTCCTAAAACTGTGTTAACTTTAACCCAATAATGTCATTTTTAGAAATTTACTCTAGGATTTAGGTATGAGGGAGGAGACAAGATGGCACAGTAGAAGAACTTGCGCTCACCTCCTCTCAAGAAAACATCAAAATCACAATGAATTGCTGAATAACCATCAAAAAAAAAAAAACACTAGAAACTACAAAAATATTCTACATCCAAAGACAAAGAAGCCACAACTGAGACAGTAGAAGGGGTGCTTTTACCATATAATAAAATTCCATAATGAAAGGGAAGGTGATCCACAAACTAGAAAATAATTATATTACAAAAGATTTCCCACAGGAGTGAGACTTCTGAGACCCTCATCAAGCTCATCAGCGTGAGGATAACATTTGGCTTTGAAGGCCAATGGAGCTTGGGTATAAGAGCTCCACAGGACTGGGCGGAAACAGATTCCACTCTTGGAGGGTGCACACGTGGTTTCACATGCACTGGGCTGCAAGGCAAAGCAGTGACTCCATAGGAGCCTGAGCCAGATAAACCTGTGAGTATTTCAGGGTCAACTGAGGAAGTAGGAATCAGCTGTGGCTCACTGTAGGAGGCAAGGACACCGGTGGCAGAGGCCGCAGGGAATGTTCATCAGCAAGAGCTCCCCGAGAGGTTGCCATTTGGGCAAACACCACCTGGACCCACCCAACAGTCTGCAGGCTTCAATGTTCAGATGCCTCAGGCCAAACAAACAAGATGAGAACACTGCCCCAGTCATCAGCAGACAGACTGCTTAAAGTCCTCCTTAGCACACAACCACTCTAAAACACACCCCTTGACATGGTCCACCCCACCAGAGGGACAAGGTTAAGCTCCATCCACCAGTGGGCAGGCACTAGTCTCATCCAACAGCAAAGCTGAACAAGTCCCTGGACCAACCTCACCCACCATGAAGCAGACACCAGAGCAAAAGGAACTATATTTCTGCAGCCTGTGAAATGGAGAACACAAACACAGAAAGTTAGACAATATGAGATGGCAGAGAAGTATGTTCCACATTAAGAAACAAGATAAAACCCCAAAAGAACAAGTGAATTGGAGATAGGCAATGCATCTGAAAAAAATTAGAGTAAAGATAGTAAAGATGATCTAAGATCTTGTAACAAGAATGAAGACACAGAACAAGAAGATACAAGAGAAGTTTAACAAAGAGCTACAAGATTGAAATAAACAGATGACCAACACAATAACTAAAATAATAAATATACTCAAAAGAATCAATAGCAGAATAAACGAGGCAGAAGAACAAATAAGTGAGCTAAAACACAATTTGGTGTAAATCACTGCTACAGAACCAAATAAAGAAAAAAGAATGAAAAGAAAGGAGGACAGTCTCAGAGACCTTAGAGACAATATTAAAAGTACCAACTTGCACATTATATGAGTCCCAGAAGGGCAAAGGAGAGAGAAAGGGCATGAGAAAAGATCAGAAGAGGTAAGAGCTGAAAACTCCCCTAACATGGGAAAGGGAACACTCACTCAAGTCCAGGAAGTGCAGAGAGTCCCATGTAGTATGAAACCAAGGAGGAACACAATGAGACACATAGAATTCAAACTGACAAAAATTAAAGACAAAGAGAAAATTTTAAAGGCAACAACAGAAAAGCAACAAATAACGTACAGTGGAATCCCAATAAGGCATCAGCTGATTTTTCATTAGATACTTCTCTGGCCAGAAGGGAGTGGCACAATATATTTAAAGTGATGAAAGGAAAACACATACAACCAAGAATATTTTACCCAGTAAGACTCTCGTTCAGATTCAACACAGCTATCAAAAGCTTTGCAGACAAGCAAAAGCTAAGAGAATTCAACACAATGAAACCAGCTTTATAACAAACGCTGAAGGAACTTCTCTAAGCAGAAAAGGAAACAACCAGAAACAAGAAAATTATAAATGGAAAGCCTCACTGGTAAAGGCAAATATACAGTAAAGGTAGGAAATCATCCACACCCAAATATGGTATCAAATCAGCATTATGAGAAGAGTACAAATGCAGGTTATTGGAAATGCTTGGAAATTAAGAGGCCAGCAATTTAAAACAATTCTGTTAATACACAGACTGCTGTACCAAAACCTCATGGAAACCACAAACTAAAAATCTACGATTTAGACACAAAAAAGAAAAAGCAATCCAAACACAACACTAAAGGTAACTGGCAAATCATGAGAGACATTGATGTAAGAAATCAAAAATGACAGAAACAGATAGAAAGATATACTGTGATCTTGGATTGGAAGAATCAATATTTTCAAAGTGATTATACTACTCAGGTCAATCTACAGATTCAATGCACTCCCTATCAAATCACCAATGGCATTTTTAATAGAAGTATAACAAAAAAATTTACAATTTGTATAGAAAAACAAAAGATCCCAAATAACCAAAGTGATACTGAGAAAGAAAAACAAAGCTAGAGGAATCAGGCTTCCTGGCTTCAGACTATACTACAAAGTTACAGTAATCAAAACAGTATGCTGCTGGCACAAAAACAGAAATATAGATGAATGGAACAGAATAGAAAGCCCAGAAGTAAACTCAAGCACTTATGGTCGGTCAGTCAGCCTATGACAAAGGAGGCAACAACATACAAAGGAGAAAATACAATCTTTTCAGTGAATGGTGCTGGTAAAACTAGACAGCTACATGTAAAAATGAAATTAGAACATTCTATAACACCTTGCATCCTTAGTCTTTCATCCCTGTATGACTCTCTGTGACTCCAAGGACCATGGCCAGCCAGGCTCCTTTGCCCATAGGGCTCTCCAGGCAAGAATACTAGAGTGGGTTGCCATTTCCTTCTCCAGTGATAAAGTATGAAGTGAGTGAAGTGAAGTTGCCAAGTCGTGTCCGACTCTTTGCGACCCCATGGACTGCAGCTTACTGCAGCTTACTAGGCTCCTCTGTCCATGGGATTCTCCAGGCAACAGTATTGGAGTGGGTTACCATTTCCTTCTCCACTATGCTACTGCTAAGTCACTTCAGTCGTGTCCAACTCTGTGCGACCCTATCCCTGGGATTCTCCTGGCAAGAACACTGGAGTGGGTTGCCATTTCCTTCTCCAATGCATAAAAGTGAAAAGTGAAAGTGAAGTCACTCAGTCATGTCTGACTCTTCATGACCCCATGGACTGCAGCCTACCAGGCTCCTCTGTCCATGAGATTTTCCAGGCAAGAGTACTAGAGTGGGGTGCCATTGCCTCCTCCGTTCTCCACTATAGCACCATACAAAAAATAAACTCAAAATGGATTAAAGACTTAAATGTAACACCAGACACTATAAAACTGTTAAAGGAAAACATATGCAGAACTCTGTTTGACATAAATCACAGAAATATCTTTTTGGATCTACCTCATAGAGTAATGAGAATAAAAACAGAAATAAACAAATGGGACCTAATTAAACCAAAA